TTTTAATTTCATGTTGCACTTTATTCTGTACAATTTCCTTGAATAAATCTTCTAGTCTATTTATTTTCTTTAGGATTTCTTTTATTTCATCAAATTTGTCTCTTATTATTTTATTTTGGAGATAGAGGTGCATAATCATTGAAATCTTCTTCATATCATCTTGCATATCATCCATTCTGCTTCCTGACATTATCCAATCTATTATTAATTTCCATTATTAATCAGTCAGCTTCTTTTCTTTTCCAGTAGTAATTAATGTTTGTACATTTTTCTACTTTCATTTCTTTTATTTTATTGATGAGAGTGCTAAGGTATTCTTCATCAATTTCAGTAGAGTTATTCTTTAATATGATGTTTTTTATTATTGAATTACACTCTTCCTTCTATTATATCATTTACTTTCATTTTAATGTATTGTTTAGTATTTTCTTTTATTTTATGTGATATTTTAATATATTTAATATATTCATTTTCGTTATTTACATTAATGTTTGTCACTTTTATTACACTTTCTATTTGTTCCCATCATAATTTCTTATATAATTTCTTATTTAACCAATTAATTGCAAAACAATACATCACTTCAATTAAAATTCTATTTCTTTCTTTTGTTGTATTTCCTCTTGTATTTTCATTATAATTTGTTTGCTATTTATTATTCTTGAAATTTTACATCTTTCATTCATTTCTTTAATTGTATTTTTGTTTTTAATTTCTTCTTCATTTGTTTTAATGTCTTTTTCTTCAATGTCTTTTGTTTTTTTCTTAATTTCTTCTTTACTTTATTCATTTATCTTATTCTTTTTGATTGAATATACTTCTTGAAGCATATCATACATTCCTTTTCTTTTATCTTCTTACTTTTTGAGTATTTCTTCGTATTCTCCTTTGTTTCATTCACTTGTTATTCTTTTTATTCTTTCATGTATCTCATTTATTGTTAGCCATTTATATTTGTTATTTGTATAATCTTTATTATTATTGTATTTACCTTATTTCTTATTTGTTTTTCTTTGTATTTTTCGTCTTCTAATCAATTTTTCCTTTGTATTTCGTTTACCTTTATTACTATTGTTGTTATGCCATTTATTGTTATTGACATTTCTTTTTTTTATTGTATGACCTTGGATTTCGATGACATGTTTGTTTTTCTTTACAAGACTCAAGAACTTTACACAATAGCCATTACAATAAAATTTGTTGTATTTCCTGCATTGGAAAAGGATTTTATAATGAAATAATGAATATGAAATGATAAAAGAATAAATGAGATGAAATGTATGAATGTAAAAATACATTATGAACAGTTTGTTCAATTTAATGAAATATACTCAAATGAACAAAATGGAGTAGAATAATCAATATTTCATGAAACACAATTTAATACATTTTCATTTTAGACTTAATAAAAAAACGAATAAAAGTTAAAATCCAAATAATTTCAATTTCAATAAACCAATTCTATTTTTAATTGATATTATTAAAATAATGAAAAAACTATAATTAATAGTTTATGAACTATTAATATATAAATAAAATTATTAGTTTTAATTTAAATACAAAACACACACCAACACAATGGAAAACCAAGAAAATATCAAAACAATAACACAAGCAGTTGAAGAGCTTGTTCATTTAGATAAATATCGTACAGAGATAGAAAAGATAATACAAAACCAAGAATTAAGAATTAGTAGCTTAGAGACTAACATGGAATTAATGTTAACACAAAACACAATAATGCAAGAGATTTCTAAGATTGTTAATAAGAATGAAGAAGAAGTTAGTGAACAACTAAGAAGAATAAAAGAAGATAATGAAAAAACAAGAAAAGAACTTGAAAGGAATGACATTCAAAAAGAAAACAATACATTAAATATAGAAGTACAAAGGTATTTAATAGAGAAAATGAAGAAAACAAACAATGATTGCACAATTAATGATGAAGTTATAAAAGAATTGATAAAAGAGGAAATTACAAAGAAATATCTTCAGAAGATAAAAGATGAAATAGAAAATAACAAGAAAGAAAAGAACAATCCATCCAACAACAATCCAATAGAAGAACAACCCTACAACAATGTAGCAAAACAACCACACAATGTTCCAATTATTTCTCCAAACAAAATACCTTTTGATACAAAATATATAAAACAACTAGAAGAATGAACAAATAGAAAAGTAGGAAATATACTATTTGATTCAGATAAAGATGATTAGATAGTTAATACATCAGTATTTGATCAAAGAATAAATAATAAAGAAGATATAATAATTATTATTGAAGATGAACAAGGAAATAAATTTGGAGGATATGTTAATTCTAAAATTGATAAAGTTGGTGAATGGATATATGATTCAAATGCATTTTTATTTTCATTAGAGTCAAATGGAAGAATTGAAGGAATGATGAAATTTGATATTATATTCCCACAATATGCATTTTATTTATTTAATCAAACAGATAATTGTTTGTTTGAATTTGGATGGAGAGATATTATTGTTTATAAAGAAAATTATAAAACAATATCATTTTGTAATCAACGCTCATTTTCATATGAAGAAATATCAAATGCACTTTGTGGAAAACAATATCCAAATCTTTTCACACCAAAACGAATCATAGTAATTGAAATGAAATGATTCAATCTTGTTTAATTGAAAATGAAATAAAAAAGAATAAAAACAAATCAATGAAGAATATGAACATTTCATTCATCTGCCAATGAATGAAATGGTGAATTAAAAATGGAGATAATTCAATGTTGATTTATTTTATTTCATTTGAAATATTCACACCCAATGATGGTGTTTTTAATAAATAAGAAAGAAAGAGAAATAAGATACAATGAATAAACAATTTATTTGTATTATTTCATTGAATTAAATCATTATGAATCAAATGAATAAAATAATAGAAATAAGAATAATAAACAAATAAAGAAATGATAAAATACATCAACTTATTTATGTTATTATTTTTATAAACATTAAAATCCTTTTTCAACTTATTACATCTTTAATAATTTTAGTTATAAATAATCATAATACTTTATTGAAATATAACTATACTTTTGAGAATCAAAAATAATAGTTGTTTTGTTATGTATAATAAATTTATAAAAGTCATTTCGTTATTTTTGATAACGTAGTATTTCTATGTTTTACATTAGTTTCTACCAAATTCCATTTCTTTGAGTTATATTGACACAAATAACATATAAATATAATATAATTTCATCTAAATTATTAAAAATGGATTAAACAAAAGAAGAAGAAGAAGAAAAAGAAATAAAAAAGAAGAAATATTTCAGTTTGAATAAAATCCATTAAAAGAAATATGTAATAAATAAAATAATATAAATGTTATATTAATAAATATTAATAAATTCAAACATTTTGATACATTTGATGACACCATCATAAGTATTTTTAAAAAATTATTTATTAAAATAAATTTAATTTACTTAAAAATATTTTTTAAAAACTTTCAATTAAAGAAAGTGCAATTAGAAAAGAAGTGCAAAAATGAAAAGAGCAGAAACAATGAAAGTTGAAACTGCACCACATTGATACATAAATCCAACTGAACATTTATCACATTCCCATGCTTTATCGTGAGAAATTCTTTCATCATTTTTCATCTTGTCATTTGGATATTTATCAAGGTACATAACATCATCTTCTTCTTTATATCTGCAATAAGTTCCATTATTGCCACATTGATACTTTCTTTTAGTAACATAAAGTCTTTGAGTATTATCTCTATGTGAACAATCTGAATCATCTAGAATAATACTTTGGAATCCATTATGTCTTGGTGCTCTTTTAATTTCAACACTACATTCTTCATTATCTCCAGAACCTGAACAAATAGCTTTCTTGATTTTATCATCATTAAGATCAGCAGTAACACTAGCTGTAACTGATCCAGTACAATCAGAACTAGCTAAATATGTTGTACAAGTTACAGAATCACCATCATGTGTTAAATACATTGAGCTTACTGCAGAGGTATAATAACATTTTTCAAATTCAAGTTTAGTGAACATAACTGTGTTTCCATCACCATCCTTAGTAATTGTAGCAATTAAGTCTTTTGAGAAAGCAAATGAAATGAATAAGAGTAATAAAGCTGTATTCATCGAATGATAACAAACTGTTTGGGGGTGTTTAAATAGTGAAAATAAAAGGAAATTATTATCACAGACTCACTACAAATTCAAATGGTTCTAAATAAAGACTTTTTCATTTTTCAAAAAGTATTTAAAGTAAACTATATTTAAACTATATTTTTAATTTCTCTTTTAATGTTACTAATTATTTTATTCTTCTTTTAAACATGCTCCAATTTCACTTTTATTTTACTCAAATTTACTTTTTTAAATTATTTTTCTTTTTACGAACAAAATGAAAAAAAAAAGTATTAAATTTGCAAACAATTTTTTAGTGTGAATGTTGTTCTAACTTTGTTCATTTTTTAATATAATAGAAAAAAGTAAAATTATTAATTAAATATTATTAACCTACTTCTTTTTCTAAAAACCTAAAAATACCACTTATTAATATTATCAATTTCCATTATAAAGCGTATTTTTATTGTAGTGTGAATTAATAATAAAATTTAATAAACATATTATATTATTGTAGGAAATTGAATTATTACAACATTAAATTGTTAAACAAATAAATTTTTTTACAACTATTTTAATTTCTTTTTAATTATATTATTTTTATTTATATTTTTAAATGGTAATAAGATATGAGAAATACCTCATTCAATAATATTTCATTTATAAATTTTATATTTAATTTTATTGAATGTAAAAAACCAGAGAAATTAAGTAGACATATCTACAATTGAATTTTCTTCATATTGACAAGTGAATATTTTATTTTCTTCAATGCTCTCTTTTTCTATCATAATATTACTTATATTGTACTTTAAAAACAACGAAATAAAAAAAAAAGAAAAAGAAAATATTTTTACACACCCCTGTTTAAGCAAATGGTGGCTGTAACATGATAATTTCTTCTCCATGATGCAATGGTGAATCTAGAAGAAATATAAAATAATCATATAACTCCTCAATAATCTTCTTCACTATGACTTTATACCATATTCCCTGGCACTGTATTTGTACTTTAGCTTGTAATTGAAATATCAACTCTAGCACAGTCAAGGAATCATATAAAACCCCATCGTGGAGCTTTATTTGTTTTGTTAGTTTAACGATTCCTTGTTCAGTGTAGTTGTAGTCCCACACTGGAACATTGAGATAATTGTCAATGGGGTTAGGCTCTCTTTTGTGCTGTGGTATATTACAGAAAGCTTCTGCAAACGACTCAAAAGTTTCAATCAAAAAGCCATCTTGTTGCATTATAACTTATATTATTATTTTCAGTTATTTAAAAAATTTCTTTTAAGAGTTGTTTGTTAAACATTTTATTTAGCAAAAATCTTTTCTGTTTACTCTTTTCATGTTTAATTTGTAATAAATAATAATCAATTAATTAAGTATTAATAGAAATTTCATCTATTCTTCATTCCTCAGAAGAGAACAATCCCATTCTTGAGCTGTTTAAAAAAAGAGTAATCTTTTTCTTTAACTTATCATTTATGTTTTTCTTGCAAAATGAGAAAATCACTTCTTTGCTTTATTTTTTCTTATTAATGTCTTCTCATCCTTCTTCTTAATTCTTCTTTTTAACCTTTTGTTTATTTTCTATCTTAATTTTAAACATTTTCTTTTTCCTTTTTTCTTTATTTTATGAATGAGAGAAGAGAAGATTCGAAGATGGCACGTCAGAGACACCACATGAAACCCTAAAATAATCCCATGCTTCGAATCTCCCAGTTATCGTCTGGTCATGACGTGCCTTTGGTGAGATAATATCTATTCAACACTAACTGTTTATTGTTATTAATATTTATTAGAAGTGATTATTATAAAAGATTATTATTCATTAACGTGTATTGTTATTCATTATTAATTATAAGGATTATTATTTACTAAGGAGGTATTACGTATTAAGAATTATCATTTATTAAAGAAGACGCATATATAATTGATATGGTTGCACAAAAATTAAACATAAGGATATTATCAAGGAATAGGGTTTCTTTAAGGGGTGTCGAAGGTAAAAGGAGATGAGCTATAACAGTATGTTATGGATATACTCTCCTTAAAACAACAATATAAAGAATGAGAAATATTATATTACTCATTAAAATCAAAATAAAAATCAGGCAGCAACTTAAATGAGGAACCATTTAAGTCGAGCATGCTTGCAAAAACTTTATTTCAATAGAAATAAAGCGTGTTGAAGAAACTGATTCGCTCACTTCTCAACATGATGAAAACCTAAAAAATAAGGTTAATCATAATTGATTTCTTTTTTTTTTTTTTATGAATGAGAGAAGAGAGTATTTCATTCCTACTATATTATTATGTTTAATTCCTTTGGAATTAACCACAATTTAGCAAATCCTTTTTCTTAATTAATACCTTCATATATTTCTTAATTTCTTTATTATTAAATACCAATTCTTATATTACAACAATTTAATATTCTATCATAATATCTTGCTCAACAATTTACAATATTAAATAATATATTTCTAATTCAAATACACTATCATAACCAGATAATAACTGAGAGTGTCAAAACATGAATTGTATTAATCTTGGTGTAATGTTTCAGATGTGTCACATTCGATCTTTTTCATATTTTTAATTTGAAATATCCAAAATAAATTACTCAATACATTGATATATTCAAATTTTTTTTGATTTTTTTCTTATGAAAAAAGAGATTTTAACATGACTTACCTACAAAAAACAATCGTTTCATTATATTGATTTATTTATACGAAAAATATTATAAGAATTAAACTATATTTTTGTTATTTTTTCTTATTAGTCTTTAAAATAAATTAAAATTCTATTTTTATCAAAGAATAAAATTTTAAAACATTTATTTGGTTTATTTGAAATGTAATTTTGTTTTTAATTTTATCCTTTTTTTCTTAAAAAATAAGTGTTATTTTAGAATTATTTTATCAAATAAAATGTTTATGTTATTTTTCTTAAAAAAAAGAATATCAACCTATTATTAGTCCAAACCAAATAACTAAAACTTGTTTTTAACTCTCCAAGCATTAATAATATATATTACCTGTCTTGTTACATACTTAAAACTTATCACTCTTTTTAATTTATTCATTTCAAATCAATGAACATCTTCTTTCTCAAAACTTTTGGAGAATATATTGCCTGTTAGACTCACAAAAACTCTTTGACCTTTAACTAAATATGATACTAAAGATTATCACAAATCATGAAAAGGAAGTAAACAAAAATCTAGAAATAGATCAAACCGTTTTGGATTTGATTAAATAATTTGACACAAATGAATCTCCTGATTATTTTTTTTTAATAAATAATATTTCTTATTGTATAAAATATGAAGTTACTTTAAGTTTGACCAAATAAAATGATAAAAATCTTTGAAGCTTTTCTCCTTTCTTTTTAACTGACAAAATAATCAAATAAATTTCAAAATATTAATTTTTAAAGATATAATTGTTGACGTGATAACAATTAAACAATAAAAAGACAAATGAAAAGAAAAGAAGACAAAAAAAGAAGAGGAGAAAAAGATTTTTTTGAGAATAATGAGATTAGAGTTTTGCGTAGTGAGAACTTGAAATAAAAAGGTGAAAGAAATAATCTTAAAAAGGTAAAAAAAATATGGCTGATAGTGAGTTAGTTGCTCAATGGGAAAAAGTACAAATTAAGACCTTTACTAAATGGGTCAATATGCATCTTGCAAAAAAAGGAAGAAAAATTAATGATGTTACTACTGACTTTAAGAATGGAGTAGAGTTATGTGCACTTTTAGAAATTATTGGAGAAACAACTATTAAATGTGTTACTAATCCAAAAATGAGAATTCAAATGACAGAAAATTTGGATAAAGCATTAAGATTTATTCAATCAAGAGATGTTAAATTAACAGGTATTGGACCAACTGATATTGTTGATGGAAATGTTAAATTAACACTTGGACTTGTTTGGACACTTATTTTAAGATTTGCTATTTCAGAACTTTCAGCAGAAGGATTAAGTGCTAAACAAGGATTATTATTATGGTGTCAAAAGAAATGTGAACCATATCCAGTTAAAGTAGAAAACTTTTCAGAATCATTTAAGGATGGAAAAGTTTTCTGTGCTCTTATTCATAGACATAGACCAGATTTATTAGATTGGGAAACAGTTGGAGAAGATGATAGAGCTAATTTAGAAAAAGCATTTGATGTTGCAGAAAAAGAACTTGGTATTCCAAAATTACTTGATGTTGATGATATTGTTAATATGCCAAGACCAGATGAAAGATCAGTTATGACATACGTTGCTGCTTTATATAAAGTATTCAGCTCAAATGATCAAGTAGAAAAAGCTGGTAAAAGAGCTGGTAATTTCCTTGATTTCC